TGGACTGTTCCTTTAACTGAAGAGATTCTGTAGTTTGGTGGACTGTTTCTTTAACTGAAGAGATTCTGTAGTTCGGTGGACTGCTCCTTTAACTGAAGAGATTCTGTAGTTTGCTGGACTGTTCCTTTAACCGAAGAGATTATGTAGTTTTCTGGACAGTTTCTTTAACTGCAGAGATTCTGTAGTTTGGTGGACTGTTTCTTTAACTGAAGAGATTCTGTAGTTTGGTGGACTGTTCCTTTAAATTGTTTTCTGTAGTTTGCTGGACTGTTCCTTTAACTGAAGACTTTTTTTGTAGTTTGGTAGACTGTTCCTTTCATTGAAGAGATTCTATAGGTTGGTGGACTGTTCCATTCATTGAAGAGATTCTGTAGTTTGTTGGACTGTTCCTTTAATTGAAGAGATTCTGTAGTTTGGTGGAATGTCCCTTTAACTGAAGAGATTCAGTGGTTTGGTGACTGTTCATTTAACTGAAGAGGTTTATGTAGTTTGGTGGACTGTTCCTTCATCTGAAGTTTTCTGTAGTTTGGTGGACTGTCCCTTTAACTGAAGAGGTTTCTGTAGTTTGGTGGACTGTTCTTTCAATTGAAGAAGTTTTCTGTAGTTTGTTTGACTGTTCCTTTAACTGAAGAGGTTTCTGTAGTTTGGTGGACTGTTCCCTTTCACTGAAGAGATTCTATAGTTTGGTGGACTGTTCCATTCATTGAAGAGATTCTGTAGTTTGGTGAACTGTTCCTTTAACTGAAGAAGTTTCTGTAGTTTAGTGGACTGTTCCTTCAACTGAAGAAGTTTTCTCTAGTTTGGTGGACTGTTTCTTTCACGGAAGAGATTCTGTAGTTTGGTGAACTGTTACTTTAACTGATGAGATTCTGTAGTTTGGTGGACTGTTCCTTCAACTGAAGAGATTCTGTAGTTTGGTGGACTGTTGCTTTAATTGAAGTGGGTTCTGTAGTTTTGTTGATTGTTCCTTTCACTGAAGTGGGTTTTATAATTTGGTGGACTGTTCCTTCAACCGAATAAGTTTTCAATAATTTGGTGGACTGTTCCTTTTAATTGAAGTGGTTTCTGTAGTTTGGTGTACTGTTCCTTTATCTGAAGTGGTTTCTCTAGTTTTGTGGACTGTTCCTTTAATTGAAGTGGTGTCTTTCTTCACAGCATGTGAACGGAGCAATCCTGCCATTGTGGCTGCTCTGTTGAACCATGGGGCGGAGGTGAACACCATCTGCATTCAAGGGTGGACGGCTCTGCAGGAAGCAGCAAGCAGAGATAATGTGGAGATTTGTGAGATGCTGCTGAAGGCTGGAGCTAAACACAATATTCGCAACATGTACGGCATCACCCCATTGTTTACTTCTGCTCAGAATGGTCAACTGGCTGCACTCCGCCTCCTCATCAAGCATGGTACCTGAAAAAATCTTCTTGTTTGTTTGTTTCTGCTGAGCAGGCTTTTGAATGCATACACTGCTTCTACAAAGAGGATTTGCAAGGTGAAAACCAATAACAGATGAGGTTAAGAGTTCATGGACACAGTCCATCTGACACCACTGTGAACTCCATGTAGATTGGTTATAGCTAAAAACACAGAAGCAGACAGATCCTATCTCCTCATGTTCAGTTTGTACATTAGACTGGAGGTGGTAACCATTAGGGAGATTGACCATTTCCTCAGCACAGGGTAACTTGTGGTATGAATTGTGCTGCTTTAGTAAATCTGTTGACAATACACAAAATGACAGTGTTGCTTTCCGAAGAGAGCAGACAAGTGATAAAATTGGAGGAACTATGGGAACACAAATCATGGCGAGTTGTGAGAGTTGACACATAGGAGGATGGTTGTTGATCTTGTTCTGTGCACAAAGACGACATACAGACACAAACTCTTCAATATCTGAATTCATTGGAGGCCACCAGAAATACCATTTAGCAAAGCCCAAGGTGTGGTTAGTTCTAATAGAGCAGGTGAAAGTGGAACTGTGAACCCACTGAAGAACTTTAGACCTTGCAAATGCAGCAACAAACTATCAGTCTGGAGGTCAGGTGCTCGGGTATCAATCAATCAAGGAAACACACAACACAAAACTGATTTTTCCCCCAACAGCTTATTTACTTGGAGTAAGCTGTTTGGGGGAAGAATCAGTTTTGTGTTGTGTGTTTCCTTGACTGATGAAGCCTTCTGGATGGAAGGTGAAATGTTTCAGCACAAAAAAAAGAAACTGTCCAGATGACCTGACTGAAAAATGTTGGATTGTATACCTGGATTATTGAGCATGGACTTTGTTTTTTGTTGTTGTTGTTTTTTTACTTTGACACTGTTGGTATTTCAGAAGACCCTGGAGTACTCACCTTATGTTGTTCATTCAACATTTATTTATACAGGTTAATCCATCCATAATGCATCGGAGACTCATTTACAAGAGACACCTGAGTTCTTTAACAGAGTGATGACAACAGTAGACAATCATAAAAGGAAGCATAAAAATTGAGAAGAACAAGTGAAAGAAAATGGCGTTAAAAGATGAAACAAGAGCAACAAAAAAAACAAGCAGCTAGATTGTAAGGCAATGTAGCCTTAGGATGGAACCCACATTGTTCCTCCTGGATCTGAGGTTCGACTAATGATTGGACTCACTTCTCCAGTACCCCCAAATAGACCTTACCAGGGAGGCTAAGGAGAGTGATGCCCCTGTTATTGTAGTACACCCTCCGGTCCCCTTTTTGAAAAGGGGAGCCACCACCCCTGTCTGCCAATCCTGGTCCCTGCCAGGAATCTGTTGGACTCCTGGCAGGGACCAATGCAGACATGTTCCTGTTTTTAGTTTTCTACATTTGTCTTGGAATCTAGCTGTTTTTTTGTTTTGTTACCTTTTTCCTTTTAGCCATCCTATTTGTTAAAAAAAAAAAAAAAAAAACTGTAGTATGAGTTTTTATAACTGCTTATTGTTGTTGCTGTTGTCCATTGTTGTCATCTTTCTTTGTTGAAATCAGGTCTCTCTTGTAAATGAGTCCTCGAGGCTCAATGGGATTTACCTGTAGAAATAAAGGTTGATTGAATCCAGTGGCACTGCTCTCGATGTCCACACAATGTTGCAAAGGCGTGTCAACCAAGGCAGCCCTCAACATCCAGATCTTTAAGGAAATCAGGGCGAATCTCATCCATCCTCTGTCACCGTGGAGCTTTTTAACTACCTCGACGACCTCAGCCATGTTGCCAAAGTGCTGCTTTCCCCTCCTCAGCTGCCTGATGGTTTGCCAGAATCTTCTCTGAGCCAACAGAGAGTCGTTATCTAGGGTCTCACTGAACTCCTTCCATATCTGAGCTTTTTCCTCAGAAACAGCCAAGGCTGTAGACCGCTTGGCCCTCTGGTACTCCTCAGCTGCCTCCGGAATCCCGCCAGACAACAAGGACCGATAGGACTCCTTCTTCAGCTTGACAGCCTCCCTAACCCGGGGTATACACCACCGAGTTCGAGAGTGGCCACTGCGAGAAGCACTGACAACCTTGTGGCCACAGCTCAAGGCAGCCACTTCAGCAATTGAGTCGCGTAACATGGCCAACTCAGATGTAATGAGCCCCACCTCAGCTGGGATGAGGTTAAAGCTCTCCCAGTGGTGTGAGTTGAAGATCTTTCTGATGGGTTCTTCTGCCAGATATTCCCAGCAAACCCTCACTACATGTTTGGATCTACCAGGTCTGTCCAGCATCTTTCCCCACCATCTGATCCAACTCACTACCAGGTGGTGATCAGTTGACCGCTCAGCTCCTCTCTTCACCCGAGTGTCCAAAACAGACGGCCACAAAACAGATGACAAGACTACAAAGTCAATCAGCAATCTACGACCTAGGGTGTCATGGTGCCAAGTGCACTTATCAGAGTCAGAGTTTCTTTATTGTCATTCGCACCACATGTGGTAAATGTGGTGGAATGAAATTATGTACACAGGGTCCCAGTTACATCCAACAATAAAAAGTAAAAGAAAAACAGTAATAAGATCTAAGCTATGACTAAGAAAAACGTAAACTAAAAATAAGCTAAGCACTAAGAGCATAAAAACAATACACCGAACAGAAGCACTAACATGAGTCTATGTGAGCAGATGAGCACGAAGGAACACAGCAACGTGAAACAGATCAGCAGCGAAATGTGTTTTCACAGTGATTATCCTGATTAGAGATTCATGAGTGTAACAGCCTCAGGGTAGAAGCTGTTCCTCAGTTTAGTGCTTCTACATTTAATGCTCCTCAACCTTCTTCCAGAGGGGAGGAGGGCAAAAAGTGTGTGTGCTGGGTGAGTGGGGTAATTCATGATGCAGGTGGCTCTCTTCCTGCATCTAGAGGTGTAGATGTCTGTGATGGTGGGGAGGCTGACTCCGACATCTTCTGTGCAGCCTTCACCACTCTGCAAAATATCCTGATGCATGCTCAATAATCCAGGTAGAAAAATTTAAAGACGTTAAATCTGGTCCTCTGGACATTCAAAAAACAAAACAAAGCAAAACAACAACAAATGTAGAAATGTTTCGTCTTTCAGATGAAAGACTTCCTCAGTCTGAGGAGCTGTATTCAGCTCAGTCTCTTAAATAGCACCTTCTCAGAGTGGATCAACCAGTTTGCTGCTGACAACCAAAACCAGCTGATCACATGCTCAAGAAGGACCATCAGCCTAACAATGGATCATTAGCACCTGATGGCTGTTTACTATTCACAGAGGGCTGAGTGATACTAGCAATCACAGCATTGTAAGAGGGGGACAGTTGAACACGTAGGCCTCCACTCCTGTTTAACAATGGACTATTTCTTTTCACAAAGATGGCCTCCTTTACTCCTCTCTCAAACCATCATTCCTCTCTGTCCAGGATGTGAACATCTTCATCCCTGAACTAGTGACCGCTGGCCTGGAGATGAATGTAGACCTCAGAGTCCTGGCCTGATAATGTTGATCTTCTGTGCTGGTCCATCCTTTTGGCCAGTGGCTGTTTAGTTTCCCCGATGTAAGACTGATCACAGCCCTCCTGACACTGAACAGCATACACAACATTACTCTGTTTGTGCCGGGGGACTGGATCTTTGGGATGAACCAGTCTTTAATGTATTTTTGGGTTTAAAAGCCACTGGGACATTATGTTTAGAAAATGAACGTTTTAGTTTCTCTGATACTCCCTCAACATACGGAATGACCACTGATCTGGGTTCCTCCTTTTCACCTGATGGCTGACTGGAGTCCTGTTTTGGTTTCTGCTTTCAGGAAGGCCCAGTTAGGATATCCACATTGCTCTAGAGCCTGTCTTGTGTAGGATTTCTCCTTCTGCCTGGCTCCTGAGTTAGTGGGGACGCTGTCTGCTCTGTGGTACAGAGTCCTGATGACTCCTAACTTGTGCTCCAAAGGGTGATGGGAGTCAAACTGCAAATACTGGTCTGTGTGGGTGGGTTTGCGGTACACCTCAGTTTGCAAATGTCCTCTATCAGAGACTGAGACTTCACAGTCCAAGAAAGCCAACCTGCCATTTTTTACATCTTCTTGTGTGAACTTGATGTATTTATCCACAGAGTTGATGTGGTCAGTAAAATGTTGGACTTCCTGAGATTTGATTTTAACCCAGGTGTCATCAACATATCTGAACCAATGACTTGGTGGTGTCCCTGAAAAGGACGTCAAGGCTCTCTTTTCTACCTCCTCCATGTACAGGTTGGCAACAATAGGAGAAACTGGAGACCCCATAGCACACCCACGTTTCTGCCTATAATATTGCTCCCCATATGTGAAGTAGGTAGGGCATTAACAGAGTACTCGAGTAATCTACACATCGATTGCTAGGACATCTATCGAGGTTAAAAATGTTACGTCGAGTATCCGTAGTGACGCCATATTATGTGACCACCGTATGACTGTAGGGGGCAGTGTTACACTGTTGCAGGTCACAGAGTATGGTGTAACAGTGGGACACAGACCCCTGCCCCTGTGTCCCACTTACCCCTAGTGGATGGAGCCTAACCAAAAGGTCAGGGGAGCGGGGCTCTACTCCCCCTAGAAGCAGATGATGTTGCAGAGTCTTCACGAGTGGTGGGCTGGACACACGTGGGAAAAGTTTGCCACGTCCCCTTCACCCTGGCGGGCGCCCCATGTGTAACACTTGTTGACGCAGGTTCCACTGCAACCTTGGTGCAACCTGATCTGGTTCCAGTTGGGGCTTGGTTAGACTCTACTGTAGTAAAACTTAAGACAGTGGCTGGTGAGCTAGCTCCTATGATGGGGAGAGGGGTGGTCAACATTCAGGTGGGGAAAATATCAGTTAAATTTGAGGTGTGGTTACAGCGTTCCAAGACTCATGCAAATTAGGGATGGACTTTCTTCGGGCTGCTAACTGTGTGTTGGACCTAGGAAACAACTCTCTGACTTTCCCAG